CTATAGCACTCTGTATTTGCCTATACAAAACTATACTGATATACATACAAAATTGATACAAATATAATTTAAATTGTATAATATCAAAAAAATTGTATTATATCGTCTGTAATGTGTAATTATACATGTGATATGGACATATGATACAGTATCTTTACATGTAGCACTATATGTGTAATAACATGCATATAATATACATACAATAATATATGCACTCTAAAGTATGAGGTAAGAAAACTTTATTAATACAAATACAAAAATTGATACAAATATAATTTTAATTGTATTATATTCTGTGTAATGTGTAATTATACATGTGATATGGGCATACAATACAATATCTTTACATATATCTTTTACATGTACATTATTATACATCTAATAATATATGCATATAATATACATATAGTAATAAATGCACTCTATAGTACTATGTATTTGTCTATACAAAACTATACTGATATACATCCAAAATTGATACAAATATAATTTAAATTGTGTTATATCGTGTGTAATGTATAATTATACATGTGATATGGACATATGATACAGTATCTTTACATGTAGCCCTACCTATATGTGTAATAACATATGCATATAATATACATATAATAATATATGCACTCTAAAGCATGATGTAACAAAACTATATTAATATAAATGCAAAACTTGACACAAATACAACTTTAGTTGTATTATATTGTGTGTAATGTGTAATTATACATGTGATGTATACATATGATGCAGTATCTTTACATGTAGTAGTCTACCTGTAATAATATATGCATACAATATAGACATAATAAAATATGCGCTCTATAGTACTAAAGGACTATATCTCTATTAATATATAAATATAACGGTAGTAGACATTTTACTTGTATAAATATATATAATAAAATAGAAATATGATCTACATGAGCAGGCATGGCAACCCTCTCCAGGACTCTTGCCTGGAGCATCCCATGGACAGAGGAACCTGGTGGCCAGACAGCAGAGAGCAGACGCTCTGTCTGATTTGCATGCCTGTGTGGAATAGTGAGTTTGAACGTGTTCAGCAAGAAACGTTAATTACTTTATTTTGGGCTGTGTGAGTCCACCTGTGTCGGGAGTACCTAGTCGACAAAAATAGGCTTGAGATCACGCCTTTGATTAAAGGGGCGTCAGATGCGGCTGATTAAAGACAGCAGAAAGTCCTGAGCATCTGTCCTTTTTGACACCTTGGGGAAGAGACGCCTACCCCTCCTTAGACACTGATGAGGCCAAGAACAAAGCTGACGGAATCATCTTCCAGCCAACCACCCTGACAGCAGGTGCTGGCAGCCCCAAGCCCCTCACACAGACCAGGCTGGGAAGCAGCCCAGAATATTCCCCAACTTGAAAGGGGGACTATTCATCGTAGCCCTAAGGAAGTTCTGAGGACCACGATTGATGAAAAGCGAAAGTCGCTCAGTCGTGTCCAACTCTGTTCCACCCCATGGAGTTCTCCGGGCCAGAACACTGCAGTGGGTGGCCATTCCCTTCTCCAGGGGACCTTCCCAACCCAGGGATCAAACCCAGGTCTCCCGCATTGCAGGAGGATTCTTTACCAGCTAGCTACATGAAATACCACAAAGCAGAGCTTTGGAAGCGCTCTCTCTGATAACATCTTTTTTAAGCCCCTTGCCATGTACATGAGAAGCTCTGTGACTCATCATGTGTGGATTAAAATGCCTCCTGAACTCCGCAATCAGAACTCTAAGACAGATACCCTGCCCTGCCTGGGACTCGAACACACAGCCTGAAGATCCTTCTCCAGCAAGGACGCTCCACCTTGTCACTGCCTGGCCGAGGTTTTCTATCACGGTTCCAAACAAGGACCAAGAAAGGGTGTCCGCAAGAAGAGATGAGGTCTATTTAGTCTCACCAAGGTGCCGCCCAGGTGATGAAAATTTGCTAGACACTCTGCCAGACCTTTTCAATTAAGTGGTAAGTGTCTACGCTGGCAATTCTTCAACCCATAAAGAGGGAAGCGGGGCTTCCCTGGTGTCTCAGATGGTATAGAATTTGCTTCCAATGCAGGAGACCTGGCTTCGATCCCTGGGTGGGGAAGATCCCCTGGAGGAGGACATGGCAGCCCACTCCAGTATTCCTGCCTGGAGAATCCCACGGACGGAGGAGCCTGGCGGGCCACAGTCCATGGGGTCGCAGAGAGTCGGACATGGCTATTTTCACTGTTTCACGACTGTTTCACTTTTCATGGTCTCTTGTACGTGAGGAACCACTTTGTGTCAGAAAGAACGGACGGGATGTTTCTTATGGAAATGTGCTACACCTGATCTTGCTTGGATTCATATGATAAAGCGGCACTTATTGTTTCTTTTTCTTTTATGACTATGAATAGAACCGCACAACTATCAGTTAAAGACCAACGTAAGCAAAAATGGCATCTTTAAAATATGAAACTTTCAATTACGAACATGTTATACTCCTCTGTTTACTGAAATCATCCTTTGTTTTTCTTAGTGTTTTATATAGTCTCCAGTGCAGAATCCTTTTGCAATTTTTGCTAAACTTCTAAACCAACTTTGTTGATGCTATTGTAAATGGTATTTTCATTGCACGTTCTATTTGTTGATATGCAAATCTATATTAAGATTTTTATGTATATAAATGTTGAGTCACTGAGGATGCACACTTGAAATGAACATAATGTTAACTGTAGTTCAATAAAAAGGATAGATAAGTAAAAATTTTAAAAAGAACAGATTTTTATCCAGTCCCTGAAGTCAGTAACTGCACTACAGTCACTTAAAAATTTAAAGGTTATACAAATTATTTCAAATTTTCTGTATATACGAACATATCAATGATGAACAAAGTTTCCTTTTCTCCAGGTCATAATTTTTTACACTTTTTGTTTTGTAGTGGGGTATAGCCAATGAACAATCTCATGATAGTTCCAGGTAAACAACAAAGGGACTCAGCCATACATAAACATGTATCCATTCTCCTCCAACCAACTCATCATAGTTTAATCTGATAATGCAACCTTTAGAATTTTGCTTTGATGTTCATGATAACAATTAGCCTGTAATTTTATTCTTATAAGGTCCTTCTCAGACTTTTATTAAACATGTACACTGCCTTCATATAATGAGTTGGAAAAATGTCCTCTCTTTTTCTGTTTTGTGGAAAAGTGTGTAAGACTGATGGTTTTGTAAAAACCACTGGTAAATGTCAGTCTTGAGTATTCACTGGAAGGACCGGAGCTGAAGCTCCGATACTTTGGCCACCAGATGCAAAGAGCCGACTCACTGGAACAGACCCTGATGCTGGCAAAGATTGAAGGCAGGAGGAGAAGGGGACGACAGAGGATGAGATGGTTGGATGGCATCACCGACTCGATGGACATGAGTTTGAGCAAACTCCGGGAGTTGGTGCTGGACAGGGAGGCCTGGCGGGCTGTGGTTCACGGGGTTGCTAACAGTGAAACATCACTTCATGACTGAACAGCAACAAGAAAAAGCCAACTGTCCTTGCTAACATTTTAAATTAGATTCAATATCTTCAGTGGATAAAGGCCTTTTCCTAGTCGAAAAAAAGACACAGACGGGTCCCAACTTCATGTTTGCCTGGGGTGCCTCAAATTCCTATTTCTCACCTGAATCATCTTTGCTCAAGCCGTGGGTCTGGCTTTCTGCAAAGGAGCACTGCTATCGTGCATTGAATGTTGCCCTGGGTTTCTTTGATGCCGAAGGACACACGTCAACACCACGCTGGCCTCCAGGTCTCCACCAAACCGAAAGCCGCTTTGTTCGAAAACCGACAGCATCCACCCATGCCTTCGACAGCCCTCTCCCCATCCGAGGTCACGATATGTCTTAAAAGGAAGATAAATGCCTGGTGGGGGGGAACAAAAAGTCTTTTGAGTTCTGAAGCTACGCAGCTGGAATAGCAAAGGAACCGTGAAGGAGAGAAAACAACAAACAAACAAAAAAAACCTCTCTTAGATGCCCTGTTGTTGTTGAGCTGCTAAACAAAACTGGCACATCCTTACCGGTGCTAGCCTGGGACCCTGTTGCTGGGCAGGACGTTTTAGGGAAAAAAAATTTTTTTTTAATTGATTTTTGGCTCTGCTGGGTCTTCATGGCTGTGCCAGCTTTCTCTGGCTGCAGCAAGCAGGGGTACTCCCGAGCTTTGCCGCACGGGCTTCCCATTGCGGTGGCTGCTCTTGTCACACGGCACGGGGTCTAGACCCCAGGCTCAGTAGTTGGGTTGCACAGACGACGTAGACTCCCCACGGCATGTGGGATCTTCCCGGCCCAGGGATCGAACCCGGGCCTCCTGCCTCGGCAGCTGAAGAGGCAGGAAGCTTTGAGCGATGGGCAAGAACAGCTGTCTTAACAAATGTTTCGAGTGGTTTGAAACAAATGCTTTCCCCAGGGCAGGGGGCTGGGGATGGGATGGGGACACGATGGATGCTTCATTTTGTCACCCACAGGGATATACAGGCTACAGGCCAGGTATCGGCAGAGAGCAGGCAAGATTTGGATGGACAAAGGCATCGCTAGGAAGACTGGTCTGTGCGTGACTTTTGCCATTGACGAGAAGAGTCCGCTGGGCACTTTTCCTCTCTCTCAGCTCCACTGGACGGGGGAGCATGGCAACCCACTCCAGTATTCTGGCCTGGAGCATCCCATTGACAGAAGTGCGTGGCGGGCTTCGGTTCATGGGGTTGCAAAGAGTCAGACACGTCTGAGAGAGACAGGTAACCCATGCCCTTGTTCCTTCTCTCTGCACATGTTTTTTTTTTTTTTAATTTGTTTCAAAGAGGTGTTGTTTCTTTCTCTTACTTAAAGATCTATTTACTTAACACCTGCGCTGGGTCTTCGCCGCTGCGCACAATCTTTTTTTTTTTTTTCTAGTTGCGGCGATCATAGGCGTGGTACGCGGCCTTCTGACTGCGGTGGCTTCTCTGCTTGCAAAGCACTTTCTCTAGGGTGCTGGGGTTTCAGGAGATGCAGCCCACGGTCTCAGGCGTCGCGGCCCGCAGGCTGGAGAAGACAGACTCAGTCGTTGTGGAGGACGAGCTGCGTCGCTCCAAGACGCGTGCGATCTTCCCGGACCGGGGAGCGAACCTGCAACTCCAGTGCCGTCGGGCGGGGTCTTTACTAGACCCACCCCCAGGGAAGCCCTCCGCGCAGGTGGTGGCCCCAGCGAGAAGCGAGTCTGAATTTGCAGCGGCAGCTAATGCAGGAGCCGGAAGCCACACGCGGCAAGCCCTCCTGAGACTCTCCGGGAGCGCTTCCGGCTTCGACCCTTATGAGCGGGGTGTGCCTTCGGGGCCGTAGCGCCTCGGGACCCTCCCCACGGCCAGCATCGCAGAGCCGGCTCGTCGCGTCCCCGCGAACTGTCATAGCTCTTCCTGGCTTGAGGTCCCGCTGGCTTTTTCCTCGGCATCTCTTTGTTCGAGGGAGAAAGGGGAGGTGTCGGAGCGCCTCGGATTGGCCGTGGGGCTTCCGTGGAAACACGGCTCCCCCTGCTGGTGCGGCGCTCATCCGCGTGAACGAAACGGAAGGAACGGCAACCAGCCCGTCCAAGGGCAGCTTCGCTCGCTTCTCGGGGCCGGGAAAGGGCACAAACATACCCGATCACATCGGCCAGGCTGCAGACACGGTGGGTGAGTTTCGATCTCCCGCCCGCTGTAGCATTTTTCCTCTGTATCAAAGATTTTAATGTCGCCAGCCCAAGAGATCCTGCAACTGCATTTTCTTATGTTGTTGTGGTCTGGTTGCTCAGTTGCGTTCGACTCTCTGCGGCCCCGTGGACTGTAGCCCGCCAGGCTCCTCTGTGCATGGGGTTCTCCAGGCAAGAACACTGGAGTGGGTAACCATGCCCTCCTCCAGAGGATCTTCCTGACCCAGGGATTGAACCTGGGTCTCCCGCAATGCAGGCGGATTCTTCACCAATGGGCAACCTGGAGACTGTCTCAGCCGTGAAGTGTCTGATGCTCCAAGAATATCCAGTCTCACATGGCAGCTTTCCTTGTCCTTGATATGCTGGGTGTCTTACAATTTTATTAGCATCTATTAAAATAGTATCATATCCTAGGACGATAAAATTTCATCACTCCTGAATTATTTGACAACTTGGTTTAGATGACTCTCCTTGTGCTATTATTTATTCTGCCTCCTGAGAGCCTTTTTTCCTAATATCTATATATCTAATGTTTATTTTCGAATAGTTATTTTTTCTATTATCTATTGCCACTTTAATATTTATTTAGTTACTTGTTTGGCTGCACGGGTCTCAGTTGCAGCTCCCGGCATTTTCAGTCTTCGTGGCTGAAGTCTTCAGTCTTCAGTCTTCGCGGGCTCTCTGGCTGAGTCGTGTTCCCCGATCAGGAATTGAACCCAGGCCCGCTACACTGTGGGAGCTGGACCGCCTCAGCCACTGGACCAGCAGAGAAGTCCCATGCTTTTTAAGATGACCTCTATAATTCTTGATGTATAGTACGCATGCCTTTTGCATATATAATGAGCTACTCCGTCTCTTAATTGGGTTACAATATCTTGCCTGGAAAATCCCATGGACGGAGGGGCCGGGTAGGCTGCAGTCCATGGGGTCGCTAAGAGTCGGACACGACTGGGCGAGTTCACGTTCACTTTTCACTTTCATGCAATGGAGAAGGAAATGGCAACCCACTCCAGTGTTCTTGCCCAGAGAATGCCAGGGACGGGGGAGCCTGGTGCGCTGCCGTCTCTGGGGTCGCACAGAGTCGGACACGACTGACGCGACTTAGCAGCAGCAGCATGTGCCAGGGTTGGAGGGGAGGGGGGCTTCCCTGCTGGCTCAGATGGTAAAGAACCCACCTGCAATGCAGGAGACTCGGGTTCGATCTCTGGGTCGGGAAGATTCCCCTGGAGGAGAGCATGGCAACCCACTCCAGCATTCTTGCCTGGAGAGTCCCACGGACAGTCCCACGGACCAAGGAGGCTGGCTGGGCTGCAGTCGATGGAGTTGCAAAGAGTCGGACATGACTGAGCATGCCTAGCCAGCATACGCCAAGGGGAAAGGAAATCTTAAAAATTTGAATTAAGGTCCCTGATCTGGTCACTGGGTCCTAATGAAATGCAGACATGAACTGGGGTGGGCCTTGTCTAATCAGGTGCAGCCTTATGAAGAGGGTCCTGACGTTGCCTGAGAGGAGTGTGTGTGCGTGCATGCAACGTGTGTAATGGAATATCACTGAGCCACAAACAGAAGGACATCCTGCCATTTGCAACAACACCGGTGGACTCGAGGGGCTTAGGCTGAGAATGCTGAGGCAGACAGGGAAAGGCAAATACAAAGCTATGGTTTTTTCAGTGGTTGTGTACAGATGTGAGAGTTGGACCATAAAGAAAGCTGAACACCTAGGAATTGATGCTTTTGAACTGTGGTGCTGGAGAAGACTCTTGAGAGTCCCTTGGACTGTAAGGAGATCCAACCAGTCCATCCTAAAGGAGATTAGTCCTGAATATTCATTGGAAGGACTGATGCTGAAGCTGAAACTTCAATCCTTTGGCCACCTGATGCGAAGAGCTGACTCATTGGAAAAGACCCTGATGCTGGGAAAGACTGAGGGCAGGAGGAGAAGGGGACGACAGAGGACGTTGGATGGCATCACCGACTCGATGGACATGAGTTTGGGTGGACTCCGGGAGTTGGTGATGGACAGGGAGGCCTGGCGTGCTGCAGTCCATGGGGTCGCAAAGAGTCAGAGACGACTGAGCGACTGAACTGAACTGATATTGTACTGCTTGTATGTGGAATCTAGAAGCAACCACCCAATACATAGATGCAGAAAGCAGATTGGTGGTTACCAGAAAGAGGTGATGGGGTGGGGTGGGATGGGGAGGGGGGGGAATGGATCAGAAAGAAACAAGAAGGGAGGAAGAAAGGGGGAGACAAAGATAGGGAGGGATGGAGGAAGAGAGAGAGAGAAACGGAGAGAGGAAGGAAGGAGACAGATGCAGTGTAGACAGCCCACGGGGGGTGGGGGGGGAAAGCATAGTTGGGAGCCCTAATCTTGGGTCTCAGCTCACCTTCTGTGAGTGCAGAAGGTCCCTAGACATCTATTCTGAGTACTGACCTGGCTTCCATCACAAACCAAATGCCTTTCCATGAAAGCTTCTCCCTCAGCGACAAGCATTCCTTTGCAAGAACATCTCATTTCCTACTTGGCATCTTGCTAAGTCTCAAGATCTAGTCACACGTTCATGCAACGATTGCCCTGGAACTGCACATTTTTAAAAAAAATTCTGTGTTGCTGCTGTGGGATCTTTAAGGGCTCACACGTGGCTGGGTTCATTGAACGCCTTGCGTTCTCTCAGAGCTCCGAATTAATTCATTTCTTGAGATGTCTATACGGTGAGCTCCTGCATGCGGGCTAAGTGGCTTCATTCGTGTCCGACTCTCTGCGGCCCCATGGACCGCAGCACGCCAGGCCTCCCTGTCCATCACCAACTCCCAGAGCTTGCTCAAACTCATGTCCACTGAGTCGGTGATGCCATCCACCCATCTCATCCTCTGTCGTCCCCTTCTCCTCCCGCCTTCAATCTTTCCCAGCATCAGGGTCTTTTCAGATGAGTCGGCTCTTCCCATCAGGTGGCCAAAGGATTGGAGCTTACGTGCATACATGGGGCCAATAGACATACAAAGGTTCTCAACATCATTAGTCACTGGAGTGAAGCAAATTAAAATGAAAGTGAGACATACAATTATCAGGAATAAGATAGCTGTGCTTTGTTGCTTAGTCGCTCAGTCGTGTCCGACTCTTTGCGACCCCACGGACTGTAGCCCACCAGGCTCCTCTGTCCATGGGATTCTCCAGGCAAGAATGCTGGAGTGGGTTGCCATTTCCTTCTCCAAGGCATCCACTCAACCCAGGGATGGGAACCGAGTCTCTTGTATCTACTGCATTGGCAGGCGGATTCTTTACCACCAAGCCGCCTGGGAAGCCCATAAAATAGCTACAAGGGTATACTCTACAACACAGGGAAAATAGCCAGTATTTTCAAATAACTTTAGAGGAAATATAACCTTTAAAAATTGTGAATCAGTATATCATACACTGGTACCTTACGTGATATTGTACATAATATTACTTCAATTTAAAAGAAAAAATAAAGTAGACAAAATGACAGTGAGATACCACCACCCAAACACTAGAATAGACAAAATTTAAAAGCCTGACAATAACAAGCAATGCATGTATACCCGGTGGAATTCTCATGCCTTCCGGGGTGGGATATTAAATGATGCTACTACTCATGAAAAATAGCCGTCTGGCATATGAACCAGAAATTTCACTCCTAAGTAAGGAACCAAGAAAAAAAAAATGGCTGGGGGAAAAAACGAATTTTTTAGTGCCAAAAAAAAAGAGATTTCTGTACTAATGTTATTGCAGTTTCATGCTCAGGCCGTGGGTCAGGAAGATCCGCTGGGGAAGGGACTGGCAACCCACTCCAGTGTTGCTGCCTGGAGAATCCCATGGACAGAGGAGCCTGGTGGGCTACAGTCCCTGGGGTCGCAAAGAGCCAGGACATGACTGAGCAACTAAGACTTTCACTTTCACGAGAATACCCAAACAGATAAATTGGTCATACAAACTATGGTCAGCACAGGCATCACACACACAAAAAAAGGTTTTTATTTATTTGTTGTTTTTTTTAAAGTCTTTACTAAGTTGATGACAATGTTGCTTCTATTTGAAGTTTTTTTTTTGGGGGGGTGCTTTTTTTTTTTTAATGCACGGCAGCTGAGATGTTAGGTCCCCAACCAGGGACTGAACTCACAGCCCCTGAATTGGAAGGCAAAGTCTTAGTCACTGGACCCCCATGGGAGTCCCCCACAAAAACAGAGAGAGGTACAGATACAGATTCTGCTCACAGCGGTGCATGTGTGCGAACGCATTCTTGTGTCCGACCCGGCGATCACGAGGACCGTGGCCGATCAGGCTCCTCCGTCCATGGGCCTCTCCAGGCAAGAGCACTGGAGCGCGCTGCCATTCGCTTCTCCGGGGGATCTTCCCCACCCGGGGATCCAACCCCGGGTCCCTTAGGTCTTCTGCATTGGCAGATGGGCTCTCTAACGCTAGCGTTTACCTGGGAAGCAAACCCACTACACCCGGGCCTTCCAGCTTCCCACCTTCCTCCTGTGTTTCCTGCCCGGAATCACCCCCGAGGGGCGATTCAAAAAAGCCTTTACTCACCCTTTGATTGACCTCACTCGGAGGTATTAAAGCTGTTCTCCTATCCTAAGCCCGCCGGGGGGACCTCTGATGTGACGATTAACATGCCGCAGGCGGGGGTCCGTGAGCCAGGTGGAGCCTTTCCATGCCAGATTATCACCAGTGCACGTTTCCACCTACCTGCTGTCTCCAACGAGCTTTTAAATACTCTTAACATGTGTCCAGAATAATGTTTCTGAGTGAAATAAGGAAGAAAAAAAAAAAAAATTGCTGGTGTTTGCCGCCACCCAGCGGTAGCATTTTGCTATAACGCCACTTAACTATTTCTTGACCGCTAACTTATTTCTTGACCATTAACAGAAGGAAAACAAGAAAAAAAAATTTTTAAGGGTTTTTTTTTTTTTTTTTCTGACCGGGACCAAGACGAAAGAAACTGAGATGT